GTAATTTAAAATAAAAAGGAGGACTTCTATTTTCAGTTGAGATAGAGTAATACAGACCAGATTTGCCAGGTTGAAACAACTGAAAAAAGTCACACAAATATATAGTAGAACAGTGGGTTTTTCAAAACACTGGACATCAGACAATAACGGACACTGACCCTCTAGAGTCAGAAAACAAATGAGGCAAAACGAAAATCAGTATATTCAAGAGATATCAGTACTTGAATTCATGATTCAAGATATGCAATCAACTTAAATGTCCACCAACACATGAATAAAGGAAATGTTATAAATGTACACAATGGAATACTATTCAGCCCCTAAAACAGATCACAACTTGTCATTTGAGGAACATGGACAAATCCAGAGTATATTATATCAGGTGAAATAAGCCAGGCACAAAAATAGAAATATCACATGTCCTCATTCACATGTAGAAGCCAAAAATGTCAAGTCAGAGAACAGTGGTTACTAAAGGTTGGGAAGGGTGGGGAGAAAGAACTGATATAGAGATGTTGAAATTAATAAATAAAAATTACAATTAGATAGAAAATAAAGAAGATCTAAGTAAATGGAGAGATAAAACCAGTGTTCATGGAAAAGACTCAACAATGAATAGATAGATGCTAGTTTTCCCCAAACTGGTCTATAGTCCAGTAAAATTCCAGCAATTTTTATTTTTTTTTTTAAATAAAAATTGCCTCATATGAAAATGTAAAGGATCCAGAATAGCTGAAACAACTTTGAAAAACAACAAAGTTGAAAATCAAAACTGACTTCAAGACTCAATATAAAGCTAGTAATTCAACAGTCTGTTTTTGGCATCTAGGTAGTGAAAAATGGGTCAATAGAAAATAGCACAAAAACAGAATCATACACACATAGATAATTAATTGATTTTTTAAAATAATCATTTAATTTAACTTTATTTATTTATTTATTTATTTATTTTAATTTGACCAGAGACAGAGAGAGAAAGTGAGAAAGCAAGACACCAGGTCCAGGTCTCAAACTGCAGTAAGCCACGTGGGAGTCGAGCACCCTTAACCACCATGCCACCTGCTGGTCCCAGATAATTGATTTTTAACAAAGATGCAATTCAATGGACAAAGGATAGTCTTTTCAATCACTTTAAAAAAAAAGTCTATATTTAAAACTAAAAAGTTTTGACCTATACTACGTACCATAGATGAAAATTTACCTTAAACTGGAACCATTTAAAGGTCCAGCTACAGTGCCACATGTGGTAGGGACCTACTGTGTGATACTGGAACCATTATGGGAAGATCTTGGGTTTAGTTCCTCACCAGGTACACTCTGGCTAAGGCTAGGGGAGGATCACAGATGACAAGACCTGTCAAGAGACTCTTTCTTTTTCAGTCTAAAAGTAAAATAAGCTTAAAATCAAAATGTTAAAACTTTAAAAGACAGCATAGGTATACAAAAAACACAATCGATATAAGAAAACATAAGTAGACTGGAGTTCACTGTAACTAACAATTGCTGTTCCTTAAAGGAATACTGAGAGGGGCCAGCAAGTGGTGTGGTAGCTAAAGTATGGTACTTCCACATGGTCAACCATGGTTCAAGTCCTGGACCTGGTGGCTTGCTTTCTCATCCCCACCCCACCCCCCTCCCTCTGATCAAATGAAAAATAACAATAATAATAAATAAGTTAAATAATTCTTTTTTTAAAAAAGACTATTGAGAAAAACAAAGTGACAGAAAATACTTGCAAACCATGTATCTGATAAATGTCTTATAACCATAATGAAGATCTCTCAAAACTCAATAAAAAAAAAAATCCAGTTAAAATAGTAGGCCAAATATTTAAAGATATTCCACCAAATAAAGTTACCCAAAAACACATGGAACAATGCTCAACATCATAGACAGCAGAGAAAGGCAAGTCAAAACCATAATGAGCTGTCACTTAATATCCACTAGGAATGTCTATAATCAAAAGACAGAAAATAACAAGCATTAGAGACAATGTGGAAGGACTGGTAATCTCATACCCTACTGATAGCAATTTAAAATGGTACAACCAGTTTGGAAAATAGTTTGCAGTTTCTTAAAAAGTTAAATGTATGTCTACCATATAATCCAACCACTCCAATCATAGGCCCAAGAGAAATAAAAGCATATGTCCACAGATTTGCACAGGAATATTCACAGCAACTTTATTAATAATAGAAAAAATACAAATGCCATCAAGAATTGAATGGATAAGGGCTGGACAGTGGTACAGCAGTAACATGATGCTCTGTGAGGCTGACCTACACAACAAAGTTCCAGATTTGTACCTAGTGACCTCTCTGAACCTGTGAAGCACATGCATGCCTATGATTCAGGGCTAGCTGAATCTGTGGGTGGATGACAGTTTGGGGATACTATTGAGTATGGCTGTCTCTCTGACTCTTGCTCATGGAAGAAAAACATTTATCTTAAGAATAAATAAATGAATAAACTACATTAGAAAAATATCTGTAAGAAAAAAAAGTAGCTTAAGTTAAAAAGAAAAAGTAATAAAAAGGTGGGCTAGCATGTAGCATGAATGTTATGGCAGCTGGATTCCACTGGGCCTACTTCATGGTTCAAGTCCTGGACCTGGTGGCTTCAAAATCATACCAGGCACATGTGTGTGAGTGTCCGACAACCCAAGAAGAGAATGGAAAAGGGACTGCATGCAGCACGGCCATCACCCTCCCACCCCCCGGGCGGTGTTTCCTCAATTTCTTTGTCTTTGTTTCTTTCAGGAGAGCATGTACACCCTATATTAAAGTTAGAAAAAAAAATTGAATGGATGGAGTTAGCCCATGACACAGAAGTGACAGCAGTAATGCGACACTCTGTGACACTGGACCTATGTGGGAAGGTCCACAGCTCACATTCAGCGGGTCATACATGCCAGGCAGGTACATGCCTGTGATTCAGGGTGAGTCAGTCTGGGGATAAATCCTGGCATAAAGAACCTGTTGGGGTTGCCTGTACATGTGTGTCTCTTATGTTACAAATAAATAGACTTTTAAAAAACAAGCCTAGGGATGGATGTTGGCATAAAGACCCTGTCAGGAGAATGCCAATATATGCCTGTAACATGTTATAAGTAAATGTACTTAAGGAAAAAAAAAACTGAATGAGTATAATATTATTAAGCAATAAAAGGGAATATTTATTGATCCAGAACATGAGTGAAAAATTATGCTGAGTGGAATAAACTACACAAAAAGGTATATATTGCATAATATATATTCTATAATCCACCTTATTTAAATTCTAAAAAGTATGAACTAATTTAGCGAGATAGAAAGTTGATTAGTTGCTTGAGGGAACAAAGGCATAGGGAGGGAAAGGGGCAAGGAATATTTTTGGAAGTGATAGCTGTTTGTTAATTATCTTCATTGCAGTGATGGTTTCACATATGTATACATATGTCAAAACATTGTATATTTGAAATATGGGTAGTTTATTTTATGTCACATAATGCTATTTTCTTTAAAACTCAAGATACAAGCCAGAATACAGTTTAAATCCTTTTTTGTAGATAAACAATGTCTTTAGGAGAGGATCACAGTATGCAGCTATACATAAATTAATAATTTCTGAAAAATACACACTAAAAAATTTTAACACATCTAAGAAACAGAACTGTGAGTCAGGAAGAAATATCTTCTACTTTAGATGTTTTGTTTTTTTTTTTTTAAACTTGGGACTGTATTACTTTTTTCAAAAATAAATTGTATTACTTGTACATGGATCTGACACCAAAGTCAAATCTCTTAACCATTATTCCAGAAACCTGCATAAAATTTTGGTTATTCAAACTTCTATGTTAAACAGTGAATTTTTAAAAATGATTTGCATTTATTTTATACCATTTTCTAATGTTTTATCCTCAAACTAGTAGAGAAAACTGGTGTAACCAACACATCTTACCTGAATATCCTATTCCAATTTTTTTTTTTTTTTCTGCCTACTCATTCTTGGTCTCATCTATGAACCTCCCCTCTCCATCCGCTAACAATGGACAATCCAGGTCTGTAGCATTTATTCTTTTACAAGAGAATCTTGTATCATTAACTCTTTTATAAAATCAAAGGAAACCTGGATAGTAACTACAAATTTCACATTTTACACTCCTGAGCTACTCCTGACTATTTGAACAGTCAGCATCACTGAACTAAGACCAGTCATATATGAGGAAGATGAACAGACAGAGGTTGGGAGAAAGCCACTGTTGCGCCAGGTTTGAAATTAAAAAGCTGAAAGACAGAGATCATGCCCTAACAGGGCAGATAGTCTTGCAAACAAAAAATTCTAATACATCATGACTTTAAAAGGTTGAAGTGTTCAAGGAAACAAAAGACCTAAGTAAAGATCAGATTGAAAATGTAAAGGATGAATAGTAATACTAGTGAAAAAGTGAGAAAAGATTGCAAATAATCTTTACCATAAGGTCCACCTTCTTTTAAAAGATGAAAATTTCATTTCTAACTGAAATTGATGCTAATTGCCTAAACAACTTTCTTATCTCTTTAAGGGTCAGGCCAACTCATTTCTAATGTGCCTTATACTGACAAAAACATCTGCATTTTTCTAAGATAAAAGAAAATCTTAGATTAGCAAAATTATTTAATTTAGGCCAAATTGTCGACAGTACATTTAAAACCAGTTTCCCTTTAAAAAAATGGAATCTATCATTTTGTATTCACAAGAAACCAAATGTGAAAAGTATTTTTAATTCCTTGAACACTATTTGTATTCACTTTTATATTCACTTTAAAATGTTATTTTTCAGACTGCCAATTCTAGAAAAGCTCATGATTGTGGGTTATTAAAATTATAATATAAAATCCCACTTTACAAATTGAACATTTTAAGACCTGTGCTGGTTAGCCATATTACAGTATTCAAAAGCTAACAGAAATTTTCTGGTAATTATGATGATAGAGTCAGCAAGCCCAGTTCTCACATTAGTTTCAAGCATCTTTTCCTACCTTCACACCAACTGCAACCTCAGTGACAATTCTGTAAAGAAAAAATAAATAGTTTCAATCTCTTGTTTTTCCTCTAATGATCAATGTTTGACTCTGAAACTTTCTCGGGTAGTTCATCATTTATACCTCTTCCAGACCCTCACAACATACAGAGAAAATAAATACACAGATGGTCAGGGACACTTTTTTATACAATTATCAACCTAGTTTTCCAGAAATAATTTTCAAATACGAGATGAAATTCAGTAAACACTTATTTTTTAACAATGCTTTTAATAGCAAAAAGAACAAAACTCAAAATACTATGTCATTTCTATAAAGACAGTACATGAGATTAATAATTTAATACTTTAAAAACTCAATCTTGACAAAATCTAAGGGATCAAGAAACATTTGTTTCAGTTCAAGTTTTGCCATTGATTTCTATTTTGATCTGGGGGGAAACAGAATTTCTCTGGATTTGTTTCATCTGGAAAATAATCTCTAGTTACCTCTAAGGTAACTTAAGTTCTGTAAGACTGTTAACTGTTTTTGTATTACCTTTACTTCATCTTTCAAAAGTATCAAAATGTAAATACTCAACCAAAATACACTCATGTTTTACTTCTGATTCTAAATATTGTCATCGATTTTAATAAATGCACTTGCTAAATGGTCGTTTTTATACTGCACACGGGCTGAATGCCGCTACATTTACCACCTACAATGTGCCCCCTGTCTAACAATGAACAAAATCTTGTCAGAGGTGGATTCTGAGTACCAGAGAGACACTGGTCCATAGGGTCTCCCAGAGCCTGTGCCTCGCCTCAGATTCTACCTTCGCTCGTGGGCTCGCAAAGATGCAGCACGGTTCTGGCTTCTTGTAGTTGTTTTTGTTTTTCCACAAACTGGCCAAAGTAGCTAAAACGATGGCCTGTGTTGACTCTCTGCTCTTGTTGTCTACCATGGCTTTGGCCTTTGTCCATGTGACTGATGTCGACCTCAAAACACTCCGGTTTTTAGATGATTTCATTTCTGGGCCCTTTTGCCAAGCCTTGAATGTCTTCGGCCCCACAAAAAGGCGTTTTTCTGGCCTCCCGCCCCCGCGACCAGACTCGAATGAAAACAAAGGAGTGTGACATCTGCCCTCCCCCTCCCCGCGCCGCCGCGCGCCCTCCCCCTCCTCCGGCGGCTCCCACTCGGCTTCTCCCGGGGCCTCC